GTGCAGCTCTTGCTTAAGGATTCGTGGATCAAGGTCATGTTTTCTATTTCCCTGCTTACTTGGACAAAATAAACAACTCGGCCTTGGCAATACGTTTGCCTGTTCTTTAGTCCTTAATACATATTCCTAGTATACGCTGCCTGCTTTTTGCCTTTAAAACTTCTAGTCTTTCTGATGTTTCTTGTTGATTTTGTTATCACAGTCAAGCGCTTTGTGTCTTATAGACTCAATTGTCCTTGTAGATTCACTTCTACCCAACTTTTCTTATATCCTTTGTTGTGGCTTTTGTGGCTGAAAAGCTAACACATGGCAATATTTTCAAAACTTTTTCCTCAGACCCTTGCAAGATGCACCTTCTGAAGTACTACCTCCTGAAAACAGGTGACTTAGCTACTTTTGCTTTCACTTATAATCTTTATCATCATCATCATGTGTCCTCAAGTGCCTTTGTCTTAAGGCAACCCTCCCAGAGTTTTTAATGTATAGTCAGAGGTTGTTTACCAGAGTCTCCTTCCAGTGCCCTGAGGCTATGTAGCTTGCCCAAAGGTGTAAGCTGAATATGCTGTGGGTGATCCTGGTTGCCCATCTATTGGGATACACAGTGGGGAATTAAATCCCAATCACTGGGTCCACAGCCAGGCATTCCAACTCAATTATACTATGATTTGAAAACATTCCATCTGTTGGCTTTTCAATAAAAGATAATAACTGATCAAAAAGTGGATAGGGTGAAGCTGCAGGCACTTAGAAATACACAAAACCCTTGCACTTACTTTGATGTATCATGGGGATTACTCCATTGTATGAATTGTCAGCCAAGAGCCCTGATCCAGCAAGGAAGTCCATGTTTGCCCAAAGAGTATATCTGGTCCCCTTTAAGATGACCATTTCCCATGTTTCAAATCAATTCCCTTTCCTCTCCGTGAAACCAGTTTTGCAGCCATAATCTCAGCTGATTGGGAGGGGAAAGGAAATGTATGAATCCCAACACACCTTTCACCCACACCCTCTTTCCAAACTGATAACTTGTTTAGCCAGTATATAAATGCAGTTGTACATGTTTACTTCTGGCTTTGGACCCATGTATTCAGGCGTTATCTGTTTTGTAGGCTTTGAAGGTGTGAGTCCACATTATTTCATTTGTTTTTCTAGTAAACAAAGGAAAATAAAACAAAAAATATTTGTTCATTGGTTTTTAACTGTTTATCTTTGAAGGCATTGTTTTGCACCAAAGAAGTAGGCTACAACTTTACCTAAAGCTCTCAGGAAAGTCATGGGGTGTGGGAAGAGAAAGAGCAGTGAAACTGATGGTGAAAAACTATTTAGATGAAAGAATAGCTCATTAAATGGAGATGGCTGCCCCCCATCTGGTAGTTGGTAGTTCTGGTCCTCTGTGGAATGCTGTTAAGTTCCATGTTTTGGTGGAAATGTTGCAATTACACACAGCAGAAGGCTGCTTGGGTCTTCCAGTGGGAAATGAATGAATTTTCATTTTTGGGACAGAATTCTCCCTGCAAATGTGGAGTTAAATGTTTCCACCCGTAGACCACACTAGCAGTCCCTGGCTTACAATTACACAAGCCAGAGATCAGCGCATTGACAGAAAAGGGTTTCTGCACATGGAACAGACCGTTCTACACAAGGTTCAGTACTAGCAGTATACAGTACTAGCTATGGAAAGCAAAGCAAAAGTGAAAACAAAGGGGAAGGTGAAATCTCTCCACACACCAATAAGCACACATAGGTTGCTAGATATGACTGCAGTATTGTTTTTTGAAAGCCAACCTTGTATGCAAAATAAAGATGATGGGCCTTTGGAAGTTATGCAAAAAGGGACATTAATGTTTTCTAGCAATCCATCATTTCTGGAGCTAACATTTTCCCCATGCACAACAGCAGCTCATAGACTGTGCTTTAACTATGAAAATCATAACTCTAAAACAGGCTCAGATTACTAGTCTCTATGCCATAGGTCCTGAAAAGCTTAAGTGCTGGGAGGAAGTTCCCATAAATTCATTTTGATATTAGTACACATTCTAGGAAAATGTGAATACTGACTGACAAAATTTAGTAAGCTCAGTAGATGGTGCTTTTTGCTACAGCATTTGAACCTTTCTCTCCTAGTTCTATTATCTCCATTTTAAAATATTGCATTCTTATATTTTAATTTTCACCTATGGATATGATACAATCGGATTATGTGAAACAGACCTATTATCTCTGCCCACAATCACAGTCAACTTGATACATGGCTTGACCTCTGATAGTTGCTGTACATCTTTCTTCCTTAAACATCTTAATCCAAAAATCCATTAAAATGCTGATGCCTATGTGAGGCTCCTATGCCTGCCTTATTGATTGAAGGGGAAAGAGCAAATCTCAGTTCAGAAGCAGATACCCATCTGCTTTCTCCATTTATATGACTGAGAGATCTATTCTGGACAAATAAGTTCCATATTCCCAAAGAATATGGAACTAGGAATAGATCACTGGACAAGGATAAATAGATTTAGATGAAACATTCAAGCAACATCAACACCAGGTGCTGCTTTTTAATCTATTTATTATTCTACATTACCCTAGTTGCTACGTATTTTGCACATGGCAGTTTTTATCTTGAACTGTAGAAAACAAATCTTATGTAACCACTATGCCAAAGATGTGGTCTCATCCATGACTCCAGAATGAGCTTAGTCATTTTGACTGAGAAGTACATCCTACTGATTTCAGAAAGTTTTATTCCCAAACAAGTGGACATAGGATCGCAGCCTAAAGTGCTAATTTTATTATAGGCCCGTGTATCCTGATGCTTATAAAACACCAGTAAGTTAAGGTCAGGTGTGTTCCCCACTCAGCCCACCTACACTGAGACAAATGTTATGAGATATATGGGGTTTTAAATAAAAAAAAATCCTAAGTGACATGGTTCCAGAGGTCTTTCAACACCACAAAAAGGAAGGGCTACTGATTTGGATGGTGCAAATGTAAAGCCACTTTTAATGCCCAGATTGTAAGTGAAAATTTAGATGACTGTTCTCAGCTAGTTCTCTTCAATCATAGATATTGAGCTTGACACTGATGATTGTCAGGTGCTGTTTAGAGACTGGAGTACAGTACAATTAATCAGCACCAATGAGCAAAACAAAGCAGAGCAGAGCTGAGCTTATTGTTTCATGAAGGCAGACACAACAATTAATATATTCTGACACACATCTGTTGTGAGCAAACTCTTCCAAGCCAAAGTATCTCTTTTAGAGACAGACTTACTTATGGTGTGGCTACATTAGCAATAGGGAGCAATCTAGTCTGGGTCACTTGAGAGTGGATTGGAATTGTTCTGTTCACATGGAAATAGTTCTTGCAGCCCCTGTAGTTGCAATCTGGTCAACCACATGTTGGCATTATATTGCTCCAGTCCAGTCCATTTGGCCACAATGTGCTCCTCCCATTCTTGCTCCCCTCCTGCCTTCTCTTCTGCAATAGCTATCAGATGGTTGGGAAACAGCCTCCTGAAAGCTTGTGGGTAGGCTGGATTGTTGTCCAAACAAAGAGTTTTTTTTCCCCCACAAGTGCCATGTTTCAATCCTGCATTTCTATTTTTCTCTTGTTTAAAAAAATTAATTTTTGGTGAATAGCATAGCACAATAGGGGGAAAGTATTTTTGGAAAAATAAAAAAATGAAAATGCCTTTGTTCATTTAAAATTAGGATGGAGAGTATCATCCACAGTCATGGCTGGACCAGACTTACCTCTACGCATCACTGCTGACGTGCAGGAAGAACACATACCCAACCCCACACTGCAGCAATCAAGGCAATTGTATAGCAAGAGACCCATCTATTTGGATCAATTCTAATTGTTTCAAATAAAAAGTAGGCACCAACCCTAAGCCAATCCAGGACAAATTGTTCCCCATTAGAATATTCTGTAGTCAGTATTTTTTTAAGTGATCTTGACTATTCCATCACGGGTCTACAGAGCAGGATAAACTCCTCTGTAGCTGACCTCTTAGTTAATCTAAAACAGTATCTAAAAATCTAGGTCCAGAAACCTGCTTGGGGATTTACACTAGCATTACTGCCATTCCCATGGAAGAGCCATATTTGAAACACACTTGCATATGGGGAATGTAGCACAATTGGCTGCAGTTTGTGAGAGATTCTGCCCTCTGCAGACCATGTGTTACATACTTGAGGGTTTCACTGCACAACCAACAGCAAAACAAAATGCACAACAATGTGATCTACTATAATTCTGTGCATGGACAGGTATATGATTGCCCAACAGGATACTGGCCTAGATATTTAGATTAAGTCCATTTTAGATTTATCAGAGCCTCTGGTTTCCTTTGTATAATTATTGGCTATAATCCTTCTGCCTAGCCATTTTCTGGACTCCTCTTATTTCACCTACCAGACTGTAGAGCATCCTGTCCCTTCATATAGGTCCACTTGCATTGATAACCACAGATAAACTTCCTACTTCTGCAAATTATTTAAAAGAGGCATTTAAAGGGACTTTCCAAGTTCCTCACTTCATTTCATGCAGTGGAAGAACCTGACCCAATTGACAGAAACTAAATGTCTTTCCTTTTGAAATAGCCTGTGCCCAGATGATCACGTGAAGAGGTTCCAAGAGCAGGAGCAGCCCTGCCACAAGGCAGAGTGACGTGGATGCCATAGACAGCTGGTTTCAGATGCCATGAATGAAGGTACAACTAGCCCTGCACTATGAGGCCAAAGTCCAGGTCCCTGTAACCTGGGCTTTACAAACCACTCCCCACCGCCCAGAGCAACAAGCTGTGAAGCCACAGAAATGAGCACCTGGGCAAAGAGAGACTGAGCAAAGCCCACTGGGGCTGATGCTAATTATTGAAGCGTTGTTTATTCCTCTTTCTTTAAAAAAACATCTAGCAAGAGGATGGCTAACTGGACATGAACCTGATTACTGATGCTAAGTTTATTACATTCATCTTTAAATTATATTACCCTTTTTTAAAAAAAAATCACAAAATGGCACAATCCCTAGTAAGTTTGTTTAGCATCAGGACAACAGAAGGAAACCTGTTATGCTAGAAGGTATTTAATTGGGCTTGAAATGTGAAGACATTTCAGGATCTGGGCTGGGGAACAGTTTCAGTCTAAGGTTTTTGTTCTGCTGTATAAGGAATGTAGAAGTGGTTGTAATACATGGAATTGTGGGCAAGAAAATACCGTTGTTACTTTTTGGGCTTCACAACAAAGCAATGTCCCTCTAAAGTGTGTGTAGGGAGTCTCCAAGACCTTTAAGTCTGGCATCTAAAATTATTTAGCTAAACCGTCGGTCATGAAAAGATTGCCAATTGTTAGTTAATAAATTTATTATTACTGCTTTTTTGCTGCTGGAGTGGAATGAGATTCTTGATGTATTTTCTGCTTCATATGATGTGCACTAACCACCTTGATTTGGAGCCTCCTGGTCACTTGCTGCTCTGATTCAGACCTCCCTCCTATTGTACATGTTAAGTGTCTACTCAAATTGGACTGACTTCTTGAATACTGGGACCAAGCTTGCAGTATGAGGCTGGGACGACCCTGCCCCTTTTCTTGCTTGCTTGTCTTTTGGGGGGGGGGCAGATATCAACTATGAAATGCAATGGTGGGGACTGTGCTGATACTTGTACTTGAAAGGTCCTGCAGTAGTTGAAATAGTCCATGAGTTTAGACAGCAAGAAAAGTTCTATTCAGTCATTACTTACCTGGTTTTTGGGAGAGCAGCACTTCTGGAGAAGGGTTTCCCTCACATGTAAGCACTACGTGCAAGCAAGAATGAAGAAGAATTAGGGTTCTTGCTCACGTGAAGAGCCTACAGATCTGCAAGAACCTCTCTCTTTCAGAAACATCACTCTCTATGTCTGGGAAGTGACAATAACAGGGCAGGGGGCTCATCTCTAAGCATGTTATTGAGATCCAGGTAAGTAATGACTGAATCAAGTCAAAAGAATAGACAGTCCAGTACAAGGTTATTATTTGTCTGGATGTACTGTGAAAGGGGATGGCTTGATTTTTTCCTCAAAGGCAGGCATTGGGTGACAGGGAGAATTGGTTCTCTCAGAAATTTTTCTAGTCTTCCCTTCCCTCTCTGTGGGCAGCCATATTTACCGGCTTTCTAAGCCTGACATGAGTTGACCACTGCATCCAAACATCAATACTATATATAGAGAATGTCCATTTGATGAGGACAAAATTATTCCACTGTTACAGTGGACAGAAAAATGAAAGCCTTACCATCAATGGCCCACCCTTCCTTTCACAATTCTCTCTTAATTCACCTGTTTCCTACCTAATACGTACTATTATATCCATAGCAAGCAGCTGAGATTTTTTACAGGACTGTGGTCTTCTCCCGACTCATAGTATTCTGTGAGATTTCAGAAGAGGTGATGATATGGCCACAGTTGCTGATTGGTTCAAGTTTGTCAAACTGAGAAGACAGTGGGTCACTGATGAATGAGGGCCTGTGGCTGTCCATCATAGCATACTCAGCTGCAGCAAGACCCTGAAGGAAGTGCCAAGAATTCGGCTGTGTCAAGCATATTCACAGTGGTGGGAACAGAGAAGCCAAAACCATTGTCCTTCACATGTTGAGAAAACAAGACTGCTTCTAAAATTCTTCAGTAAACCAAATAAACAAATAAAAGTAAGATAAAATGTTTCTAGTCCTCCTCTCTGTTTCTTGATAACAAAATAGATCCAGCTCTATGTTGTACATTCAGTTTGATCAAGGATTCTTATACTATTTTCCTTCAAAGCCAAGATAAATGTCTAATTACCGGATGGAGAACTTTCTTCCTTATGGCTTTGATAATGTGCTCCATCATTTTCTGAAAGCAGCTGTAAAGGCACCCCTTTGGCCCCTGAAAGCAGCCTCCAGGAGTAATGGTTTTTAAATTGGTGGTGGGCTTCAAAAAGCAAAGGAGGAATTTCTGATGAAAGAGGGGGGCATCATGCTGTAGGAACAGGAACAGCTGCTTCCACCGATGGGGTAGACAGGCTGGAGCAAAAAAACGGGAGTCTTTGCAGAAAGTAGATTTTGAAGGCGGTCATTTAAAAGGGGGCATCCTGTATATGCACAGAACAGGAAAAAGCACCCAAAGATCACCTTCCTTAGCAGCAGCAAACACTACATACCACAGCTATGAGTCGGGAATGGATCCAGCTGCCACTGATGTGCATTTGTGGCTGCCATCACAAGACAGTTCTTTCCAGTTTAGCTTACCAGAAACCTGGGAAGAATATTTCTATATAGGGCTTTCTTGCCCGCAAAGTGATTTACGTGCTCAAATGACTTGTTTCTTCTCAACTCATTTGGATCCATTCATGCAAAGTAATTGCTTAGTGTGCCCAAGATGAGCTGGCCTTTTTTTCCCCTTTTTTTTGGCATATCCTCCTCATTTGACATTTGCAACCTCATGGGGGCAAGAAAGGCAGGGAATTTATGGGATGGAGAGCCAGGGAAATGGGACGTCACATCCAACCTTTCTTGTTGGCTGTATCTGCAAGCGTTGGCAGTAACTCTTTGCTAGATGCCAAGGAAGGAAGAAATCTTTAGCCCTCGAATATTGAAGTTTGCCCACAGACAGCAACATTCAGAATTAGCTACACATTTAAGGATAGGGAAACTGACAACTAGGATGACCCTTTCTTCTACCTTACCCTGGCTTGGTTCAGTCTCCTTAAGATCTATTCTCCAACCCCTACCCTTTTTTTTTTCATGCCACTCTAAGTGCTGCGATAGGTCTTGATGATGTCCTTAATGGCACGTCTGCAGATGGGACAACAGGCATTGGCCATCTTCTTGAGTTTGAGCCCACATGTGTAGCACAGACACATATGTCCACAGGAGTAAATCACGGTGTCCACCATGTTCTCATAGCAGATGGTACACTCATCATTCCAGGATCCTGAGATGGAGGGGGAAAGGGGGGATTCTGGCATGCTGACTGGAGAGTTTGGAGCCGTGCCTGCAACACAAGAAAATCAGTCATTCTTTGGTCTTTGAGCAGTCAGATCCCTGGAATATGAAAACTAAGATTACTAGGCCAAGCATGAGATACTAGCAATTAACTCAGTGGGACAGAACTTACAGTTATCATGCCCCATGTGAGAAACTCCAAGAAGTGCATGTTTGGTCTATTGGTCTCACTGACTGACTTCTATCAGCAGATGAGTGCTAAACTAGATGGGCCACTGGGGGGACTCATTGTTTCATGAGAGCAGTGCAGAGTTTCCTGTAAAAGGCAAGAGGAATATTTTAAGTCCCCAATTTTGTGTGTGCATGTCTGCCTTAAACTGCTACACACCTCCCTGACGTGATAGGAAACACTGCCAAAGCACTATAGGGGCTTCAGAATTTGCTGTTTTTCTATTGTGGTGAGTCCATTTTCATGTCTGATGATTCTGCAGTCTGCAGCCACAACATCCCTTCAGGGTTTCCTCTGTCCATTTCAAATTCATGGACAGCACAAATATTAAAAGCAAAAAAACACTTACGTAAGAAAAACGGGATCGGCATAAAAGACATACTCTATTGTCAGAGTTTGAGTTTTCTTGATGTAGAACTTGTATTGCTATAACTTCTGCTGCAGTCATACTTTCAGTGTACGTGTTATTTTTTTCTAGATGAAGGTGACATGTCTTATTAGTTACTGTATCACATGATCCAGAGAGATTTTTACAGAGCTATGGTAGTTTTCCAAGTTTAGATCCACCTTCGGACCTTAATAAAATGTTAAATTCAAGGTTCAGGAGTAGCATAAATCCACTTTCATGTCTCAGCCCATTCTCAGAGATACGTACTATAGCAATCAGATTTGCAAACTGTAACTAGAGTTACATTCTAATGATTAATCACAAAATAAAGCAAGCACACTAAATGTGAGATACAAAGTTGAAAAAAATCACATACGGTGACTGATGTCTTTTAGAGGCCTCGTCTCCGAAACAACTTACCTGTAGAGATCCACCTGGCTACCTCCCTCGCTGAGGGCCTTTAAGACCAATCTGAAGACATGACTATACAGGCAGGCCTTCCCTACAGTCATCACCTAGCCTATTTTTCCTTTTCCTTTCCTTTTTCCCTCTTGGATTCTGCTAGTACATTTATACTCTCATAGTTTATTTTCTATATTTTGTGTAAACCGCCCAGAATAGACACATTCTAGATGGGTGGTATATAAGTTAAATAAATAAATTTCAGCACCTGAGGGTTACCTAAATGCATGCTAAATATATCCTGATTTTTTAGTAGTTACAGGCATATTTTATGGTTTAAGATAATGTATTTCTTCCAGAATGATGGTAACACTTTCTTAGGCGATACACTATCCTGAATCATACAAAACAGCTTCCAGCCTTTGTAGCCATGGTTCCCCTTCCTGAGCCAGACTGCACATGAATAAAATTTAAACAAAGCTGCAGGTCCACTGCCTGGGTACTGAGTACAAAGGTGGAAAAGTGTTCTCTCCCACTCTAGCTTCTTTTTCTTCATCAAACGACAAGCAGCAGGGTTTCAACTTCTTCTAGAAAGCAATGTGCACCGTGCCCCTACTGCTTCATAAATGCTCTACTGCATCTTCAACTTCCTAACTGGGGATGATAGAAATCAGCATTCAACAACCTGAAGGTCCAGGGTGGGAGATTCTGCTCTGTTAGATCAAAGTCTTGCTGTTCCATACTGTATCTTTCCAATTTCAAATTCTGAATTTTCAATCTTTTATTAAGAAAAAAATGCCTGATTCCCATTCTTTGTGCATTGTAAGAAAAGAAAAGACCTTGTAGATAAGGAACTTCTAAAAATTAGGGAAGCAAACTGTGGCTTTGGGGCTGCGTAGTATCCTCAAGGCATTTTTTGATCTCTCAAAGGTCTCCTTGTCCCCTCTATTTCTGGCAACCAAAATAAAGAGGCGGGGAGTGGCTTTTCACCTATTAAATAGGTCACCACCCTCTTCCACAATTTTTAACACCTAAGAATACCAGTCTTTCAATACTAATAGTGGATATCTAATAACCTATTCAGTCTTTCTTTTGTTTTGCACGTTTGGCATGATTCAAATGTCTTCCAAGGGCAGAAAAATTGGCCCTCAAGCCCACCAAAACTGCCCACCCAGCTTCCCCCCCCCAATGAAAGGATAAGGTTTATAAAAAGGGAGAAGGTTTTAATCTCTGAACCTGGAAGGGGTACAGGTGGATGCTGCAAGAGAGGCACTTACCACTGAGAGAGCTGCCAAGCAGACCAGAACCGCTGTTACTCAGAATGGGATCAGACACACCATTGCAGAGGACAGAGGGTGAGTTTGGAGATGAAGTTGGTGAGCTTGGTGCCGATGGGCCCAACCGCTCCGTCATGAGAGTAGAACCTGCACAAAGGAAGGACATTCTACATCAATTTAACAGCGCTTTCACTGACAGCTACTGACTGTACACTAGTTATACTATCAGACTGGGGGGGAACCCCTGTTCAAGTCCTTAATGAGATCTTGGACCAGTTATATACTTAGAATTCTCCTTTCTGTGTCCACAAAGGGACCTATGTGAGAAAAAAATTATTGTGGCAATTAAAAGGCTGCATATTCATGATGGTAAGAGTACTCAGAGAGAGATAAAATGCCCCAACCAGGAGATGTTCTATCTGCTACCCAAAACAAATCAGCCAGAATATTCAGTCTCCCATACGTTCAGACATTGGCATTATCAGGACTCAAGTACTCGAATTGTAGATTCCATTCTCAGATCATAGGCCACCAGTAACCTTCACAACTTCCTAAGGAAACTATGATCCACTAACACCATACTGCATATTCTGGCAGATAATACCACCCTTACAGAGGATGGCCATTCATGCATCACCAGAAGGGAAGTAATGGAGGACAAATGTTTGCATTAGCTTTGCATTAAATATGCATATGCAAATTTAAACGAGCACACTTATGAGATAGGTTAGCTAGGTTTAGCAAATTTTAATATCTATTACCTTAAATACAATTAAACAAAATTATAGATTTACTATTAAACGCTTCTCTAAATAAATGGAATTAAATATTTAAAATTTGATTATTAACCTAGCTCCAATATAATTTATAGCTTTCATCTTAAATATTTACTTGGTGTTCCTGTGAGTTCGACTGAGAATAGCAAAGAAGAAGAAGAAAAGGAGCCTTGTGTCAAATTAGTCAAATTAAGACTAATTTGGTGAAACCTAAACATCCCAGAGCAGCAGTGGCAACTGCTATTGAGCACATCTACGCTAGATTCAGTCCTTGCTGCTCAGGTGAAGACACTTGGACCAATCGTGTTGTTTTTATTATATTTGAGACTTGACAATAGCCTTTTTTTAGTGACGGGCCCCACCTCTAAGTACCTATTCAAATGGCCTTAGATCACATAACACAGCTGTGCTTTAGCAGCAGCTCTAGCAACACTCATCACCCCTTGTAATTTCCTCCAAATTAAAATAAAGCTGCCACTACACTTCTCTCCACCTCGTTGCCTCCTTCCTTGCCTAGTCTTATCATCCTGCTGCCTTGTCTAGTCTGTCATGCTGCTGCAAACTGTAGGGCAAAGTCCAAACTGAAGTACAATCCAGTACCAACCCTGAGGGATAGGCACTTTATCCTCACAAGCATTCAGCACTACTATCCTGGACAAAAATGAGCTAAGGTTGCTAGGAATTCCACACCTTCAGGTGCCATGGTACATCTAACAACCAAATTCAGATACTGTATTTTCTACTTAACCACAATTACTTTGTGGTTTTGGGAAGAGAACATAACTTCAATTGAATGGCACAGTCATAGCCTGGCTCCTTGCCTGCCTCCACAGTATAATGTTAAGATATCATGGCCTACTTTAAAATGCCAGTTTTTTTTTTTTTTCATTTCCATCATCTAGTCTCACGGATGGAAGGCACCAGAAAAATTCCACCAGATTTCAACAAGTTTGCACCGCCATCAGTCTGAACCCAGGCCAATCCATGCAGCAAGTGTGTATCTTGAACACTTGTGAGCAACTGCACAGAGAACATGGAAGCACCATCTTATACTGGAAACGTATTGCTGTACTGCACATATTTAATAGCTTCCAACTTCTGTTCAAAAATACTACAAAATGTATTATTTAGAGCCTAGCTTTCCAAAAAGTTTGAACTTAGATAGCAAGTGTTTCTCTAACCATCGATGTTAATTAATTTACCAAGAGAAAAACAGATGGCTATAATGACTTCACTTAAAGGTGACCTTTAACATAATCATCAGGTTAAGAGGACAAGGGCAGGAGAAGGAATGAAAATGGCAGTAAAGGAAGGAGATTGACAGTGTACTTTTCTCTCTAGCTCTGCCCACCACTAGCTTTAGCCCCACCGACTGCTTAGCTTCAGCTTTGCCCACCACTGAGACAGAGACCCTAGCAGATTATTTGCAAGGAAATATAAGAAAGGAGTGTCCACTCATGTTTTCAAGAGAGAAGGACCATCTCAGAAATCCAGGTTAGGCAATCCTAAACTGGAAGCAACAGACCTTGGTTATAGGCCCCAGTTTATTTTACAACCACAGAAGATGGAAATGCGCATGTTATGTTCTCTGGTTTGTTTGTCAGAAATAAACCTCACTAGGATTGTCCGGTCAGTTGCATCAAATCCCCTCAGATTTGAGGGCCAAACCCTAAAGCCAGAGGGAGGTCTTTGTGAAGTCACAGGCTCAGGGCAAGAGCTGGGACAGGGCTATGGAATTGCTGCTGGGCCAACTGCTTGTAGAAATGGCCATAAAGAGAATCTGGGTAAAGGAGCCCAAAATCAATGACAGAGTAGTGGTAGTACAGGTATACACCAGGGGGCAATAACCAAAAGATCTTCCCTGAGATGATGAAGATGCCAAGCACCAGAGTAGTGTTGATAGCAGATATTGTATTATTTACAGTATATACAGGTGTATTTACAGCTAAGTCTTGTTCTCAGTTCCAAAGTAATGCACAACACTTTCCACAGAGTTTAGTGCATATATCAGAGTCAATGTCCAGTAAATAAGTTCAGTAGTCATATACCATACGTTCCGTCCAAGTAGCCAGAATTCCTCTTCAATACCAAGCACGTAGACACGGCTTCCTCCAGGATTCTCCAGCACAGGGAAACGACAACTCTTCTCCATGAACACACCAACAGCATCACCCACAACAACCCACACATTGTGTATGCTTGGTCTGCTAGTTTATCCCAGTATTGACCAATCCTAGGATTACATTCACAGCTGTAACAATCACCTTAGCTGTGTATATTCAAGCTTTACTTCACTTTACAATACTGATCCTGACAATACTTATGGTCATGTTACAAAACTGGATTTAACAATTCTATCCAGGTTTAGCCCAAACCTGTCAATCAAGGTAACAAGACACAGGGGAGGGGAGTGCAGGCACTGAACAGGTGGCAAAATGTGCCCAACATTTTAGTCATAGGCACTATTCTTGCTAAACCTCACATCCCCCCCACAACAGGCTTATTTACAGTGGACATCACATGTGAGGTATTTTTGTACAAATATTGTACAAACATGACACACATTTAGAACAGCACGTGTGCAAGCACAACACATGTGAAAACATGGAAAATATTTAGTTATATTTACATAGCAATGGGTCAAAATGCATCCCTAGACCTTAAAGCCCCCCCTTACACACATGGAAGATTCAAACTCTCTCCTCTAGCTCTGCTCACCTTATTTTTTCTCCCCGCCTGCAGACTTAGCAAAAGAAAGCAGGCATCCATAAACCTCTAAATCATATCAGATTTTGTGGTAACAACTTCAGCCCTTTGTCCTTCCTGGTTCAGCAATGTGTAGTTCCTTCATGATTTTTTTTTTTAACTATTTTTAAGGGAGGAGGAGAAGGCAATAAAATGAGTAATGCTTCCACATAACACCCAAATGCCGAGATCATTAAGTATGATGTTCTGAGAAAAAGCAGCTGTTTCTAATGGACCATTACTCAATTTCAAATTTTGGCTAATCACAGGAATCCTTGACTTTTTTTTTGGCAGGCAGTGCAGCTCTGCTTTTGTAGGTTGCGCATTGACTGATTACCATCAGTTTGATAATTGGGGGGAAGGGGAGGAAGGGAAAAATAATAGCCTCCAGCTCAACAAAACAAAACAGGAATGACTATTCCCAACCAGTTTCACAGGCAAACTTTGCTTATGTTTGAAGGCAACGTTTGATCTATGCTAGATAGTGCCATTTCCATAAATTTGCCTTGTCCTTGTTGAAAAGAAACAAAGGACAGAAATAAAAATGCTGTTGTCCATGCAACATGCCCAGTATGGTTTGATGGATGGTATTTTAATATCAGCAACAAGCAGGACACGGAGTTGTTTTAAACTGGAAAGTATCAGCTTCCTAGACAACCATACATAGGGAACACATCCCATCAGACACCAGTGTATATCCCATCAAAAGCAAAGTAGCTTTATTCCAGTTTTTTCTCCTTAAGTATTGTGTGTGTGTGTGTGTGTGTGTGTGTGTGTGTGTGTGAGAGAGAGAGAGAGAGAGAGAGAGAGAGAGAGAGAGAAATTAAATAGGACACCAATCAGACCCTCTTGTAAAATTCTGAGTTTGAAGCAGGGTGATTGAGCTATCAAAACCTTATCAAGAAAAGAACATAGCTCAGTGGTGTACACAAACAGGATCCCTCCATTAGTCTCCAGCATCTTTGTTTACAAAGGGGGTATTGGACAGCAGGATTGCAAAAACCTTTTCCAGTTAGACCCAAGTTCATTACATTTTTATTCAGCTGTTCGGTCTGGCCATTCTCTGCACTACCCTGTTTCCCCAAAGGTAAGACCTAACCTGAAAATAGCCCTAGCATGTGAAACCTTGCCCTCCACCATTGTGCAACAACCAGAAGAAGATGCTATATTTGAATACATTTAGATTGGCAGCCAGTGCAATACAGATGCCTGTATTTGAATACATTTAGATTGTTGTACATGAAAAAAATAAAACATCCCCTGAAAATAAGCCCTAATCTGTTTTTTGGAGCAAAAATTAATATAAGACCCTGTCTTATTTTCTAGGAAACATGGTACCAATAACAGAAAAGGAGGAGGGGGAGGAGGAAGAAGAAGAGAAGATTTTTCCAGTCCAGCCCAAGGTGAGAGCAAAGGATCAACCCCTCCTTCCTCCCTTCTGTGACCCCAATCCAGTGGGGAGGAAGCTATCAGTGGAACAAGAATTTGCTATGCAAGACTAAGCCTTATGACAAACTGTATCCCTAATTTGGCCCTGAGACACAAAAGAGGTACCACAAGTCACAAAACATTACTTCTAAATTATATTCTAATACCTTACATTGAATCCTTCAACCTCACTCATCC